ACTGACAGATTCAGATTGATAGGAACTATTTATATTGTATTTAAAAAGATTTTAAAAATCCCTTGAGTTGAGCTCAGCTCTACTAGCATATCCATGTAGAGTATTTGGCAATAATATGGAAATTGTTTGCCTCTGTCTTCTTTCTGGTGACGATGATCTGGGATTTCCTAGAGATTTCCCATCCCCCCCCCTTTTTTTAAGATCAGCCAATGTCATCTAAACGTTACACGTTATCCCCATTCTGCCAAAGCAAAATAATTATCCTTCTGTAAGAAAGGTCTGTTTGAACCACAAAAAGAAGCAATAGCTGCGTAATATCCTTGAACTTACTGAGGATAGTGCTGAAAAATATCCTAGACCCCATTCTTCTTTCTGTTATTTGATTACGTGATAATTTGCTATCTCATTCCCTCTTTAGTGGAACAAGTTGCCAATGTGGTATTATACTCCAGTGACTTCTATACCAAGACAGTGGCTCTGGAAGAGTCAGAGTAAGTGCACTATGCTTTAGGCTCCTTTGCCCTGTTGTTGCTGTTGTTGTTTTCTGTTGCAGTCTGTTAACTGTTTGGCTCTGGAATACAGAGATTAAGAACTTTATATTAATTGGGGTCACATATCTAGGGCTACCATAACGGGGGTGCAAAACCCCAGATGACTATGGGATGGCAGCAAAGAGATATTTGTTGCCATTTCATGGTTATCTGAATTTTTGCAGCCCAGATATGATAGCCCAACCCATATTATCCCTTCCCATGGTTTGTTTTAACTATAACATATTGAATAAACCAAAATGCCCTGATTCATATATAATGCAATGCTAAGTTATAAATTACGGTTTACAAAGCAGTGGCTGAATTCATTCATTATACTAAGCCAGAGTAGAACAATTCTGCTCTGCTCAGAGCAGAGCAGAGCAGAGCAGAGCAGAGCAGAGCAGAGCAGAGCATCACACATTTTAGTCTGATGTGTGAACACAGCATTGTATGGTTTCTTGATTTCTTTCTGGCTGTACTAAGATTTTGTTCCTCATTATTAAAAGGCCTGCCTCATCCTCCCTCAACAGTGGCCTCTGAAGCTTTGTCTTACTTGGCCAAGATTGGCTGGGAAAGGATGGCCAAAACTCATTCTTTCAGAATGGATCTAAAATTGTATTCTTTCTCTTTCAGGGAAAAGGTGCAACCAAACAGCAACCTTACAAAGACAATGACTGTTCTTCCTTTGTTGGCAAACAATCGAGTGAAGAAGGGCATAGCGCTAGATGGGAAACTAAAGGACGAGGACACTAACCTGGCTTCTAGTACTATGTAAGTCCAAAATGGAACACTATGACTGAACAGGAAGTATAGAAAGACAGTTTTGTTTTATATTCAGTCACTCTCCCTTCACCCCAGATTGGTACCCTCCAAATATTTTAGGATTTTTACTGTCAAAATTTCCTGCTAATATTAGAATGCTAGTAATTTTATTTCAAACAAATCCAAAAGCAGCACGGTGATGAATGCTGTGTTAAGCAGTAAATTCAACTGTGGGAGGGTCTGATATACTTAAGTGAACTAAGGCTGAGATCTTTCCAGAATGAGTTCCTAAAAATGGGGAAATATTAACATGGGATATGAGAATATGTTACACTAATCGAAACAGCTATGCTAGGAAAATATTTTTTAGCAAATGGTGCAATGACACAGTGTTGTTGTTTTTTAATTCCAACAGTATAAAAGATGGAATAGACAGGACAGTTCTAGGGATCCTGGTTGCTTACAAAATCAAGGTGAAGCTTACTGTCTCAGGGTAAGAGCAATCAGAGTTTGTATGGTATAATTACAAGTATTTTTGATGTTCTTTTCTTTTATGAAATGAAAATGAAAGGGGGGAGTTAATGTGTAGTAGATTGCATGAGCAATTTTAAACAGCCTTTTCAAGTTCAATAAATTATAAAATGTCACTGGTTGCACAAAATTGTCTGAATATTATTATTTAAAGCAATATGTATTGTGAAGCCAGGTCAAATAGCTTAAGTATTCTTGCATGATGGTAGAAAGAGGTAATGCACAAATCTGCATTTCCCAATTTGGTGTTCTCCAGATGTGATGGTATTATGATTTCAGGCACTTCAACCATGGTGGTCAATACATGGTATAATGGATCAGGTACTGAAATAGAACCAAAGAGACACAGGTTCATCAACATTTAACAGCTAGATGATTTGGGGTCATTCAGCATTTCTTTAGCTTACCTCATAAAAATGCTGTTGTGGAGATTAAGTGGAAAATGTATTTTGTACGTTATCTTGCATTCCTAAACAAAGGATGGAATATACATCTAATGCATAAGTAAAATATAACTGAAGAACACCTGGTTGCTGGAAATGTTGGATTCTTCCAATGAACAATTCACCATTTGGGGTTGCATGTACACCCTTTAGTGCCTGATCGGTTTAGGAATATATGCTATGGGGTTTTACTGTACAGTATATGTTGTTTTTATTTTAGCCTGCTAGGAGATTTCACTTCCAGGTAAATCTATGAGATTTTCTCTTTGTAAACCTTCTCTCCTGTAATATCCATTCCAATTTTCAGACTCTTCTGAAAATGAAACTTCCTTTCTTTCCCCTATTGCTAAGCATCTATAAACTGCTCCCTGATGTTTTTTTTAATTGTTGGGAACATGTCTGAGTTTTCTCCCCTTCCCTGATGTGCAGTAGGTACTCCTTTTCTCAGTTTGCTATTTCTATTTTTTATTTGCTGTTTTTTAACCCTCATATATAAGCTGCCTAGTTACCTAGGTGACTGATGAAGCATACCATTTGAGAGAGATAAATGTTCTATGAAATGTGAGGCGCAGTTCCTGACAGAGGAACAATTTTTGCCTATAGCTCACTACAACTCTGATTTTGGTACGTACTGATATTTCCATATCAGGATGGTTAAAAAGGAGCCATTCTTTCTACTTCTTATGGATCATACACCTGAGGCTTTTACATAATAACGTCCATGTTTTTGCATTTTTCAGCTTCTGATTCCATTTGTGATTTAAAAAAAAGTAGGTCCAAAAGTGGCCTATTCCTAATTTTCTAGGCTACAATTATAATAACTCTAACTTAACCATTTAGGCAGCTGTGATGCTGTGTAAAAATACAGGAGTGTGCTTCATTTATTTACACTCCGATTACTTCCAATCTAGAGTACTATAATCCAGTTTACATTTCCAAATACCGGTGAAAAATTAGGATAAAATGTTTAGGACTGGTGTCTAAGAAATGATCAGACTTTTGCTTTGGTATACTGGAGTCCTGGATTACCTCTCTTCCTTCCTGTTTCCAAAGTGAGGTGAGCATGGAGTTGCCCTTCCGTCTCATGCACCCTATGCAAGAGGAAACCAACGCAGCAGGTTGGTAACACACAGCTGGTTTCTTCCTGATCTTGTTTTAATTTCCTCTCATTGCTTGTGATACCTTGGTGATATGACAGCCTTGTTATGTGGGAATCTAGAAGATTTTCCCTTTGACAAGAGAAACAATGAAAAGTGTTTCATTGGGCCTGAAAGTGAACAATTTCTTTGCCAATGGAGGGAAGGACATATTCAGATTAAACAGAAAAGGACGAGTAAATGCTATTAGAAGGTTTTCTGATAACATTTAATAGCTCGATGTTTTTATTGTCACAACTCTATACATGCTACTAAATCAGTATTTCCCTATTTTCTGAACTATTCCCAAGCTAAGAAAGACATTCCCATGGAGAGTTGCACTCAGACTCCATTCTTTCCACTTTAGCTGTCTTGAGGGATCCGAGTAGCAAGGCAGAAACAAATTGAAATAACAACAAAAACTCTTTCTTTAATGTTCTCCAAGCCTCTATCTTCTTTAAGGTATAATTTATTATTGTTATAACTTTAATCTCTTTAATTTTATGGAACGTTATAATATATGGACAATCTAGAATGTAACATAACTACTTTTTAAAAAGCCATTAAAGAATGGCTCAGTCACAGTGAAGAAGTTTTACAGGACTCAGTAAAGGCTTGATAATTCCTTACTGTCCAAACAGATTCATAGAGGGTTCTGTATATATACCTTTCCAGTTTTTTTGAAACATGTGTAATTTGTATGGTGTAAATCATTTGATTGAGAATATGGGTATATTTGTGGCACATATGTCATCATTCCCCCCCCCCCCCAGTTCAAGCTTTTATTTTACACA